AAAATAATATTGTTTGTACGTCATTATTTATACACGAAACTTAATGCAAAATGAAATTCCATTTAATTATAGAGGCCTACTTAGCATCGAGACTCTCTTTCTTTGGTAACATACTTTCTAGTTCACCTGATTCATTCATCTCTTTTACTATGTCCAATCCGCCAATTAGATCTCCGTTCAAATACAATTGTGGATACGTTGGCCAATTGCTAAACTTTTTAAGTCCTTCTCTAACATCATTGTCCTGTAATATGTCAAACGATTTGTAATCTGTTTTGTAACTATCCAGAATGGAAACAATTGTTCTGGAGAAACCACATCGTGGATTTGCAGGGTTTCCCTTCATGAACAGCATACATGATGCTTGATTCACCAGTTTCTTCAATCTATCGTCAAGAGATTCCTTCGCTTTCGTCGTGTTGAGCAGTAGAGCATCCTTGTTGTTCAGATAATGCTTGATCTTTTCAGTCAATACAGATATGTTGACACCATCCACTCTGCTTATCACATTGCTGTTCCGCAACAGAAGAACCGTGGGTACAGCAGCTATTCCAGACTTTAGAGACACTTCGGGTACGTTTTCTGCTTCAATCTTAGCAAACTTTACTTCCTTGTACTGCTCCAGCTTGCTCATCTCCTCGAGTACGTCGTTCACTTGGGAACATTGCTCTGCCCAGGGCGCGTAAAAGTGTAGGACAGAAAGTTCCTTGGACCTTGTATAACAAACACATATTTATAAAAAAAAACATACAGAAGAAAATTGTAAAAGAACGTTTATCATACTCGTATGGATTATCCATTACAAGAAGAGAAAAATGCATTAATTCTCGATAGAGAATAAAGAAGTGTTTACAATTACGTCACATTTTTGTTCTAAAAGACTTGACACTTGAGAAATATGAAACATTTATTTTATAAAAATGTAGACATTGGATTAAAATAATTTTGAAAGAAACGAATTTACTCACAAAAATTATTGAAATTAACCTTATTCGATGCGTTTTTGTATAAAATGGAAGAATTTGGCAGAAAAAAACGTTGCTTTGCCTCGCGAATCGACATATTAATTATTAAAGTTGACAACTATTTAGTTTAAAAATATGGATTATTATGAAGAAGACTTACACACAAAAATCAATGAAGTGAGGATTATTCAACTATTATTTTTGCGTAAAAAGAAAGAATCTAATAAAAAAAAGCGTCGCTGTCCCGCGGACACTTTGGGTCATTTGTTTCCTGCACATTTCTTTTCTTTGAAATACTAAGAGCACCTAATCAAATACCGGTCTCTTTTCTATTCCTAAAAAAAGTTTGGCATCTAGAGAACAAATTTTGTGTATTGCCGGCCTCAATTTATGTGTATCCTTTAACTAAAATAACTTCGAAGTTCATCTCTACGTTACAAATAATCCATCGTGTGTATGAAGTGTACATTTTTGTAACTTTTTATTTTTTTCTTTATTTTCAACTAATTCTTGTTTGTGGAATTGCAGGAATATTTCGCGAATTATTAAAAAAAGAATTTAACTCTAGAACAACATATTAGCCCTTAATAAACACGATGTTTTTGATATCCTTATGTTAAATATTGTCCATAATATTCTATATTGTATTGCCTGTAATATTATAAAAAAAACATTTTTATTAATAAATTATAAGTTTTTTAATATAATAGTAATAATAAAATGCATTGTTTAAAATGTAAATACAATATATCTTCAATTTATAGCCATTTGCATGCATATTAAAAATTTATTATTTTCAGGTTACTAAATAACTAAATTTTTTGGACAACCGATACTTGAACTATTTTTTCTTTTGTATAGTTTGGACTGTCAACTTTAAGATATCGAAACACATTTTTTCTTTAAATATTTTTGTTTCAGAGTTTTACATTTTTGTATGAAAAAGTGCATTTTTCTCATTTTGTTAATTATATTTAATTATAATAATTTATATACAATTTGTTATAAATATACAGTTTTACAAATACCTTTAAAGTATACATAAAAATCGTTTAATAATTTTTATATACTTGTAAAAATGATGAAAATTAATCCAGAACACAAATGACGAACAAGTATAGTAAGGATAGAATAAAACTAATTTAATTGATTTTTGTAAATCCATCTGCTTCATAATTATCATAATTTTAGAAATAAAATTTATAAAAAATTAGATAATTAGAATTTTATCTTATTCCTAAAATTCTAAAGGAAAATTAAATTTAGTTAAAGAAAAATTTCTAAAAATTTTCCACCGAGTTCGCAACAATAGAATGTAAGATCCAGTTTCACCAATGTAAGATTAATCTAGATTCAATTTATTCTTTTTCTAATTGTAAGAATTAGAAAAGATAAATCGTAAATTAAATCGAAATTAAAGTTAATCTTATTTGGTGGAATTGGCGCCTAAGAAAAAAAAGATCGTTCTCGTGGGAAAAGTAGGTATTTGGTTTAGATGTGAGAAGAGGTTATAAAGCTTGTTTCAACCCGGTGCTCCGATTACTCACTTGACGAAGTCGTCGAATGCTTGCTCCGTGGCCAGCTCGGTGATCGCCATCGCGTCATTCGCTTTCAATTAGCCGAATCACGTTCCACTCCACCGAAAAATGACTCGTACCGAATTCTTGATAACCAATGCGTCTACGCGACTATCGGCACCGCTCTCATGGCCGCAAGTAGATCATCTCTCAGCGCAATCGCGTCGCTCGACGGAGCTTCCGGAATTGGAAGATCGCCGCGAAATGAGCAAATGAACACGGGACAAATGGATGAAAACAATAAAATTAATCGATATGAGTTAAAAAATAAAATTCCGTTTAATTTAAGTCAAACTATAATATGAAGAATATACTGCAGAATGATGAAGCCGAAGTTCCTAGAATCGATTAATATATTTTTATTGATACCTTTTTCATCATCATCATTCAAACGTACATTAACAATACAGTAATTCGAAAATTATCGATGAAATATGTTTATTATTTCTGTATGTCTTAAACTGGCATTGTTAATGTTTAAGACCACCAGATTAATTTTAATCTCTACTTAATTTACTTTTTATCCTTTTCTAATTCTTAGACCGAGAAAAAAATAAAAAGTATATAAGTTAAACTAAGATTGAAGTTAAATTATTTTGATAGAAATAGGTATATAAGTGATGGTAGCGAAGAAAGTATTAATGAAAATATATTAATTGATTCAAAGGGTTTCGACTTGATCATTTTGCAATATCATTTTGTGGTTTGAGTTTTTAGTCCATTTATCGAACGTCGAGAAAAATATTTATCGTAATTTAATAAATGTTTATTTATAACCCTGGCGGAAAACTATATAGATTAAGACAAGATCTTAGAAATTATTAATTTTTCATATTTATTCGTACTAGAACGTAGAGCGGCGTTGTTTCTTTGAAAAACCTAGAAATCTTCCGTCCTCAAACAACGCCACTCTATATAGAGTCCCACTATAAATATCTACGATAAACCAAGAATTTCTAGGACAAACAAACCTCACTCTACGTCCCACTATGAATATTTACAAAAAAAGAGAATTTCTAGAATGTTATCTCAATCTATGTAGTTTTCCTGTACTTTTTTGTAAAAATTTTTTTTTCGCCAGGGAATAGTAAAGTTGTTGAAATTGCACCGGTTCTTAAGTATTTAAGACCGATTGCATCAACGTTAATTTGACTTTAATCCAGATAGCACAGAGAGTTCAAAAAGACTTCAAAAAGAATTCAGTTGTTATGTCATTTAGAATTCATTTTCAGATGCAAAAAGAATTCTTTTCAGAATTGTTCAGAAAAAGAATTCTTTTTGCATCTGAAAATGAACTTGAAATTGATAACATACAACTGAATTTTTGTGCTATCTGGGAAGCGAAGCTTTCTTTCTTTTTTTAAAGCCGATAAAGAGATAAAGGGATAGAGTTTTAAGCCTGATCACTTACAATTAAAATAACGTTAGCAATCGGAAATTTACATACTTTCTTACAGGTTATTAAAGCCCATTTTACAATTGCGTAAGTGTATGTTATAAACGGTTGTAAGAACTAATTAATCTCAATCAAATATGAAGAAAATATTCGATTATGATTAGTTAATTCTTACCTAGCAAACGAGAATGGATTGAAATTTTTTTCTATCCGAATGCGCGCGTACTTTAAATAGTTTTTTTTAGATTGAATTGAATTCAATTGGGTTGAATTAGATTCAATTGGATGCAATTGGATTGAAAAACTGCATCTCCTATTCAAAATTTTGAATTGAACAGTATTCACAATGCACAGAAAAAGCTAATATTATTTTTAGATTGAAAGGCAGAGATATGCACCATGCAATTCCTATAAAAATAAAAATGCATTTAGGATTGAAAGGTATTTATTTTAACATTCGTGAATCAATATTTCTGAAAATCTGAATCCATTTCAATTCATTTCAATCCATTCTCGTTTGCTACTTTCCAACGTACTTTCATAGCAAAATTATAAGTCTTAATCATTTGTTGCGATTAGAATATTGTTAAAATTAAATTAATATATAATTAAACTTTGCTTTATATTTTTGTTTATAAGTTAAATAAATAAATAAAAGTTTACAAAATGCTCTAGTTTCCGCACTGTGATGTAAGTCTAGGTTTGTTTTTTTATTGTTGCACTCTCTGAACTGATGCATACGGTGCAATAAATTGAAGTGAAATAAATATACGTTTGTTTCCAGGGAAGTATTTCTTATTTGTTTTACTATATAGTATATTGTTAGAACTTTTACTAAGAGCATCGAACCTTGACGAATTTCGTTTCACAATCATTGTCGAGGGCGGATTACCAATAAGAACTGATATGACTCATTCTTATTTCCAGTGAAGAGGATATAAGCCTTAACGAAGGAGAAATATAGGTTTTTTCATCATTCTATCAAATATCATTTTTTCGTATTATTTTTCTTTGGTATTTTCTTCAAAAGGAAATCGAATTGATCAGGAAAGTCATCAGAAATTAAGATTATATATCACGGGCCGGGAATCATATGTCAAAGATAACACTCGGACAATCACGAGCGTGAAATTAGGCACAGATCATAATTCATGCAATATGTCAGGAGGGGAGGGCCCTCACTTTACGCGAGACAGGCCTGACAACGCAGGTGCGCCACGAGAAACTAACCAATCGCGCGAATGGACATTGACGAGGGTGATGGTCACGAGTAGAGCAGGAGTGAGGAGTGAAAACGAAGAGAGAAGGGGTGACCTGTCAGACGGTCGCGCGGTCGGCGCGATCACAAAAAGCTGATGCAGACGTCGTCGGACGGCGAACGTGCACGTGCGGTGGTTGGTTTTTTTCTTCTTCGCGTGTGCGGTGGCCCGCGATGTCCAAGAAGTTATCGCGGGCCGATGCCCTCGACAACATCTCCGCCTGGGACACAGAGGGAGTGTTGTGCCTGTTGCGCAAGGTGAGTGAAGTTCGTCGCGGTTGGCTTAGCTTCCGCCGCGCCGTGGTCGCGCCTCACTTCGCGCCGTTCGAATCAAGTCGCGGAGCGTTGAATAGATGCAACTTTTCGGCGGACACCGACTGTCATAGTGGTCACATTCAAAGGCGTGACCGCGCGGAGGAACGTCGGGGGCACCTAGCACCGCGCCACAGGGAAGAGAGAGAGAGAGAGAGAGAGAGAGAGAGAGAGAGAAAGATGCAAGGCGCACGTGCGCATCAAAAGCGGTAAATACGCGAGTATTTATAGTATGACTTCTATAGAGACGAGAGGATTGCCGCGGAAGAGGCGCAGGCAGGTTCGTTAGAATTCCCGAGCAGTTTTCCGACGATTGAGATGAGGTTACCGACCTTTGCCGGTTTTCTCTCTTATTCGCGACTTTCATACTCGCGCTTCTCATACTCAAAATTTTTTTATCTTTTTCCAGAAACCAAAAACTCAGACAGCCAAGTCTGTAGAAAACAGATTTCTTAATGCCTGCTACATACTTGCCAACAAAATGACAACAGAATTAGATGTACATAATACTGTTGACAGATTGCTAGGAAAAAACAACAGAATCTGCAAGCGTCAGATAATATCGGCAGGATTTGCTCAGTTTCTGCCAACAATTTGCCTTTATATTATGTCGACAGGCGATGTTAACAGAATATAAGCTTAATGCGGACGCAGTTGATGACAGAATACTGTCATTTTCTACTCGAATCTACTGACAGTCTGTTAAAAGACATTACAGACATTGGCTATCTGAGTATTATTTTATATGTTGAAGATACTATAAAGGGATCACACACACACAAGGATCTAGCAAATCAAATTCTGATGCAGAAATCTAACAGATATTTGAATATTATGGATAATTATAGAGTTAGCGAGATGCGAAGAAGAGAGAGGATTCTATAATTTTATTATAAGAATAGATTTTTGTTTAATAGGTTTTATTATAAAATATGTATATAACAATAGATACAAATTCTTTGTGATGCAACTATAACGTTTATCTTATCCGAATTTTATGCGTTTTATCTAATAGAAGTTTCAAAAGTGTCTCAGAGATATCTTTTAGATATGTTGTCCAGACATTCTTTAAAAAAGGTATATTTGCACCATCATTCGAGTGGACTCATTTTTTCGTGTATTATTTTTTCTTGTTTAATATTCAATAAACGATAAAATAATAACGATAAAAACGAGTGATGTTTCTGAATGCAAAAATAGGATCTTTGTACTTATTAGTTTAATATATGAATGCATATTATTATAGAATATCACAGAGAAACAGCTTTGTTTCTTTAGAAAGACGAACTTTTGATTCACATATAATGAGAGCATTTTGCCTGAAGCATTAATCATCAAGCGTTAAAGACATTTCTGAAGAACGCGGCCAGCGAAAGGGACGCATTTCATTTGCATTTCTTCGCGCGCGATCGGAATTGCGCTTAACTTTCACGCATTCCTCGATAAACGCGTTTGCCAGTTTAAGCCTACGATCGTTGTTTCCTTACCGCAACTTTATTTCTCTTCACGGAAGAAATGTTATTCGGCTCCGATTTCTTCCTCATAGTTATACGACTGAAATATAAATCAATTATAAATTCTTTTTTTTATTGAGATATTTAACTTTCCGTAAAATACGAAAATCTGGAAGTGTGTTAAAATTAATGAGCGATATATATGTATTCTTTAAATGAATTTATATCTCAGAAATATAACCGCGCCGATTAATTTCGAATTTTCAACCAAATCAGTTTTAAATATTAGTAATTCCCCCAAATTATACTTAGTTAAGTATTTTTAGTTAAGTGCTTTTAGAGAAGCAATAAACGGAATTAAGCTATTTGTTATATCTTAGACGATACAAGCCAAAGAAGTCGAATATAATACACAAACAAAAGTAAAGTATCTTTATAAATCGACACAGAGGATTGTTTCAGTGTAATGACTTTCTGATTTTGATACTCCCAAGATATACACAGTATACCCATTGTTGAAAAGGCATCTCAAACTTGGAATGAACAAGAGCAAAGTATCTCCTAAAATCGAGACAAAGCATCAATTGCAGTATCAATCTATTTTATGATTATTATGTTTTGTTCGTTTGTTAGTTCAATTTTGTTTATTACTTCTAAAAGCACTTAATTTTGTATTTATTTTTTTTATTTTGTTGTAGATTGGGTATGAACGTAGCACTCCCACCTTCAAACATGGATTCCTGCTAAACAACTTGAGCTCTAAAATTTGGAATAAATAATTAAACGAGTATCTAATTAACATTTGATTTTAATATCTTATTTCGATTTTCATCCGATTTCAGTAGAGATACTAATTTGGATTTTTTCCCGTAATTTACATTAAAAAGACATGAAGTCACACAGAAAGGAAACAATGGGAAGAGTAGGAAATATTTTATCCTATCTATTCTAGTAGTCCATCAGCGAGATAGAATGTTAGAATTAGATAATAAATATCCGTGCGCAGTTATGTTTATGAAGATACTTTTTCTCGACACATCATCATTATCGGACCGGATTTCCTCTTTTTTTATTATTAATTAGAGAATATTTCTTGATATATGACAGATATCAATTTTTATATACATACTCGTATATGTGCGTACTCTTTACCAGTACCATAATATCCTGCTTGACTGAGAGTATTTCCTTATTTTACAGAATGGACTGGAAGAATGTTGCAAGGCTGTGGCGAAACGGCAAATCGACGGCGATGAGTTGCTGGTGAGTCAATTAGTGTATTGCTATGAAAAGAATGATCGTTCAAGCAATTTCCTGATTTTCATTTTCGGTTAATCTATCCTATGCTTTACCGGTGTTCTTGTCGATAACTCTCGCTCGAATATGATCTACGGAGTGTCTTAAAAAATGGAGCGTTTAGATACTGGAATCTCAGTTTTCGCGTTATCTGTAATTTAATCAATTTGAAAAAATAATTCTTATTATGATTTTCTAGAATTTATATCTTAATTTGTAAGAAGACATTTTCAGATTGTAGCTACGTGCATCTACCGCATATTTATCTTTTTATATGTATTTAAAAAATATTTACTTTAAAATTTTATTTACGTGAATATGTATAATGATAATTTTTATCGCGAAAAATAGATGGATTATCTGTCTGAAAATGTCTTCTTGGTGACTTAATTAATTTCCAAAATTGCAGATTTAACTTGTAATTAGACACTTGTAGTTAAAGACGCGTGTTAGGCGAGCGTTAATTATCTACCCACTTCCACTGATAACGCACGGACTGCTTTTTTTTCCGGTTACAACAGCAATATATTTCGAGACAGCCAGCGGCGACGCGTGCTCTCTTAACGGGACCTTAATTAATTGTAATTATTCCAGCACTTGACGGATGGGAAGCTGGCTCTCTGGAAGAGTGATCTCACGCGTCCACTGATAGGGTGAGAGAATGAACCAAATCCAGTTTTATTTCTGCCCGCATCGTACTATTTTCTCCGCTCTTCTCTTCGCGGAATCGCGTCTCGTGATTTTCTTTCATAACGCTCTCTTATAACGTTCTCTCTTAACGGTATCGGATTATTTAGTATGCGAACAACTCATCGTATTCACATACCGTTTACAAGTGTTTAAGTACTTAAGGAGCAAAAACATAAGGCATAATCCGACTAGATATTTCTTAAATAGAAAATGTCGTGTAATACATGATTTTAAAGTCGTCTCGTTTTTAGATCTTTTTATATTTTTTAAAATTTAGGATCTATCTTTATTTCCCGAAATAATTTTCTAGTAGCAAGAAATTGCTGACTTATACGACGCAGCAAGAATGTGCTACGTGGCTCATTCTTTATATAAAGACGCCGTCGCAAGCTATTTGCCTGGATGTGTTTCGCGCGACTGGATAATTATTTGATGACTGCAAGTCGTGCATAAATGCATAAGTCTACCGCGTGGGTCGTATTCGATCATTCCACTCCACATTCGTGTCGATTTTATGATTTAACGTTTTATGATTTAACGTTTTACACTATTTTTTTATTGCTTAACACAATTCTCTATTCCTCTTACACGAAAATTATCATTTTATTATAAGGTATTCGATAAATATTCTTTTAATATTGGTTAAAAAATGACAATAATAAATTAAATTACATAGATTAAAAATAAAATTGAAATAATGAAAAAAAGTAATAATGCCAATAACGAGCCGATAATAGATGTTTGTATGTGAATTTGTTAGCAAAATTAAAACGTGATAATAATTAGTTAAACATTGGTCCTGACAGTACTCATGCTCGCAAATAGTATATATACTTAAATAAAGTACAAATCTTTTTAAGTCATTCAGTGCATTAATATCGTTATTGACATTGTTATTACTTTTTTTTATATTGTTTCACTGGATTGCGAGCCTCTCGAAATAATTCTTAATTTAAATTAAAATAAGAATGGCTACGTACAAAAAAAACTGAATATTTATTAGGAAAATGTATATGATGCAGATTGTAATAAATAATGAAACAGACGTTTCGAATATTTCGATTTCTATTAGATTATTTTCAAAGACAAGTCATTTTGAATGGCTTATAATACGAATATCGAATGGCAGTTTGAAAAGTTATGTTATTACCAAATCGTAAGTCTTTTAAAGCGTTAAGATTACGAACCGATTTAGTAATGCCAATTTGTATAATATTTAAAAACTGCCGTTCAACGTTTGTATTATGTACTATTCAAAATGACTTGTCTTTGTCTAATAATGAAAATGATCTGATAATCGAATCGTCTCATTGTTTATTACAATCATTATATAAATCTTAGCATCAATAAGCATCCAGCTTGCATTATTATTTTGCTCTCGCTTGTATTATTATTGTCATCCATTATTATTTCAATATTGATTACTTCTGCCGCAGAAAATTATGGACATTTGTGCAAGAATTGAACAAGTCTCCAGAATTATATCTGCTGGATAAGATTATAGAAGTACAACAAAACGATGATCATTTGAGCGATAGCGGTTCCTGGGGAACTGACTTCGAGGATGAAGCAGCCGAGGAAAATAATTCTACCGCAAATGTGCAAGAAATCATAAAACCAAGTCTGATCAAGAACAAGCAAGTGTCTTTACAGAATAATAGGATACCGGTTAGTAGAATACCAACGTTATTACAGTCGAAGAAAATAATAAAACCGGAACAGGAAGAAACTTACGCCAATTGCAAATCTTCTCCGGACGAAGAGGAGAATATGTATGCGAATTGTCAGGAAACGAAACCACCGCCGATGAGAAATGTTTCAAGGCTGCACAGTGAGTTGGAGAAAACTCTAGCCGGGAAATTAAAGTTGGAATTAGAAGAGTTGAAGCGGAGGAACGGTTCAACAAAGAAACCTGAGATCAGGCCGAAACCGGAGACTCTGCCATTGAAAAGAATTCCGATGACAGCTTCCGATAAGAAATCTCCGCAGAAATCTTTCCTGCACAATGGACCAAACATGCACGAACGTGTTCCTAATGAACAAAGCAAAACACAAAGTTAGTCTTTTTAAAATGTCTTGATTTTTTCGATATGGGAATTTTGATTCTTTAATGTAATATTACTAAATATTAAATTGCACTTGGATTTCCAGGAAGAATGGGTGTGCCGCCGCCACCGGAACCCAAGAGAAACAAGGATTACACATCCGAGGAAATCAAGAAAGGAGTCGATAAGGAGTTATCGAAACTACCGGTCATCTTAAGAAATTTTGACCTTGTGGCAAATTTACCGGCACAAACGGAAGAGAGCGAAGACGAGTATGAGCTATTCGACGAAAACATCATTGAAAAGAATGAGATTTCGCGAGTCGATAGTAAGCAGTCGTTGCACAGCGGTCGCCAGGGATCAGTCGAAAGTGTTTACAAGCCTCCTAGCGCTGCGAGTCACGAGGAAGAAGAGGATTACGAGATTTATGAATCTATCACGGAAACGGTAAGTCAAAACGGTTCAATGGCTTCTTCAGAATTATGATTATGAATTATTTATGTTACTATCATGTTGCATTAGCCGGAGGATAATGATTACTTAAACCCCATTCAAAGGATAAGTGATACACAAGAACCACCTCCTTTACCCGCTAAACCATCACCGCCTCCACTGGCTTCGACTCTTCCCAATAGAACCAGATCAGAGAAAGGTACGTATATTTTTCAGAATTATAAACAGAATATAACTAAACAAGCAATTAAAAAATATTACAGTTTTATATAAAATGTTATAACACACATGATACAATCTTATGAGTACTAAATTCTGTTGGTAGATTATTTCTTATATTACATTTTGATCTTAGCGATGATAATGCTTAATAGAAAATTATAAATAATATTTTTTTTTCTTTCAAAAATATAATCTAAAACACTCAAGAACACTTGAGAAAACTTTAAAGATAGGAAAATTTTATTTGTTACTGCTCAATACTATGTTTAATTTATCTGAAGCATGATTAGATACAAACCATTTGTGCGAATTCGTTAGTAGGACATTAGACATATTAACAATGTCACGAAACATACGTTCTGGTGAATGCGGAAAAAATGCAGGGTACTCGAGACGAGAGACGAGTGCAGGATCATTTGTAAGAACTTCTGAGCATATGTTCGACAAATGCTGCTTATTGTTGGTTCCCATGCAACCTGATGCACGCATTGCCATCGCAACACTGCGGACAGTCGCATATCGGCCACAGTCATCAAAGTTGGATTCACGAAACATAACGTTCTCTCTTTGTGATAGTAAAACGACGCAGAATAGTGTTTTGTGGTCGCAGTATGTCAACGACGTTGCCGCAATTATTTGCTATTTTTCGTATGAAAGAAGTCAAAGCGAGACCTTCGACCTTCAATATGAATAAAAGATTTCAAACGTCGAGCGAGATCGGAAAGATAAATCATCGTGGATTTTCAATTCGAATGTGAGACAACAGTACAAAACGTCGAGTCGTGGAGTAACGTAATGAGAGTCTACATTCTAGGTCTGTTTTCTATAGCTGAATTATATATACAAATAGGTATATATTTGTTATTTGTTTTGAAGCGAGAAAGAAAGTTTTGGTACAGTTTAGTGCAGGAATAAAAAATAAGCTCTATTTTCGATTGATATAATCGAAAACTATATATAGGTTTGTTTTTTATACTTGAACTAGTGTACACTTTGTGCACTTAAAATGAAATAGATACGTATATTTGATATTTGGTGATATTTGGCAACAGTGGGAAACAAAATTCTAGCACATGGCTCAGGTGCAGCAATAAAAATCTAATCTGTGTATACAATGAATTCTCTGAAAAGAAACGAAGCAACAAGTTGCACGAACAGAGAACAGAAATACTAGCTGTTTCTAATTGTGATTCGTACGACGTGCGCGTGGAAAGATTTGATAAGAGATCGAGAGAGCGAAATACTGGGTGATGGAATGTGTTCCTGTTTTTATCTGCGTCTGAGCAAACAGCTCCTAGGAGGCCTGGGCACGCGCCTGGCCGATGAGGTCGCCGATATGATAGTGCGGATCAAGAGAGGCCTGTCTACGTGTTGTTATGCACAACCACCTGAGCCGCCAGGTACACAAAATGATTAAACAACGCATTGTTCGATGACTTATCTACGTTTGCTCCGGTACAATATCATGCGCTCGCAGTATTACGTGAGAATGTTCCATTAATATCTGTTTGCTCTTTATTTACCGAAGATCGTCGAACCTGGCGGAAATAAATGAAATTTTGGAAATTAATCTTGCTTTCCATATGCATAAATTTTCAATAATTATATCATATAATATATAATTTAATATAATTATATCTTTACAATGTAACTCGTAATTAATATTTGCAATATATAATAATTTATGAAGATAAAATTATCCAAATATCACCGTGATATCAGCAGGTAAATTATTTAAAAAATTGGTGACAATGCTTCTGAAATAACATATAGATAAATTTTATACATTATTCATTCGAGTATACTATATTTATTCTATTAAATTTGAAACCTTCTCGACATTAAGAATATAAGTACGTGATTTTCCTTTCGTGTGATTTACTCCAACAACCGGAATTCATGTCATTGATAATCATTGCTCATGTTATTTCTATACGTCTTACATTTTAGTTCACTGCCTTAGGAAATAACTATTGACAATTTAATTTTCTTTTTACAAAGAAAAACCACCTTTATCAGATCTTCTTTGTTTCCCGTAATCATTGCATAGGATCGTTGACTCTCTCGTTCTGATTTACGGAAGTTATTCTTGGACATGCTTTGAATGTCCCATGCTGAGAGACCAACGGATTGACCACTTTTCCTTTTTCGCAATGCTTTAAAAGGCTCGCTCTGGAATCAAATATCAGTTTCGTCGGGATTTTTACGACAACCGTATCGTGTGCGCATTTTTCAAATCAGTTTTCGAAGAATGCGTTTTAGATGATAGAAAAATTCACGACAATATACTGCTGATACTTTTAAACGTATTCGTATCGGGATATACGTGACAAATTTGCGACACAATGGCAACTATAATTAGCGATACAAAACGAAATATATCGCTCCATACGACGGTACGGCGGCAAACAAATTTTTCAGAGTGTTTGACACAGGAAACTCTTACGCAAGCTAGACTTAACTTAGCAAGTTAGTAATATGATTTTCCTGTATTTTAACACTAAAACTGTCGATGATGTGTTACTTTAGTTCCACTAATAAGTGCTTCCCATTTATTGATACAAGTCGATACAAACCTCATTCTGTCTTTCTTAATATGCAGTAACAAAGATGAAACTTGTGTCGATTTATATATCACCAAATGATAAGTACCTAATTATTTTAATTTTTTCTTTTTTCTATTAAATATACAATACAGAATATTGAAAATATATGACTATAATGCAAATATTTCTAACAATATAAATAATATCATAATAACTTTTCACTAGCTGAAAACAGGAATAGTTTTGTTATTTTGTTATTAAATTGTTAAATTAGTATCTTCTGTAGTTTTAGCGGGACATCATCAACGATTTTAGTGTTAATTAAGAAGATTTTTATATGTTTATACAACGATGTATATTTTATTTATGGTACAATCGTTCTCATTTTTATCAAAATTCTTATTAAATTATATAGTTAAATTATTCTTTTGATAACACAAATTTTTAATTATTATATGCACATTTTGTTTCTATTCTTTGGAACTTTATATTTATGGTACGAATGTAAAAAGTTACACATTGATACATGTATTATGTATCAATACGTACCAATTATTGTATCAATTTACGACATTCCCTATGTTGGTCTTTATCTTGATATATTTTTATATATTTGTAGAGCGATCACCGGATAAGAAATCAGCCACATTACCTCATGCTGGCAGTAACACTTCGATGTCAACCGAGAGAGCCACACGGCCACTACCACCGCCGCCTGAAAGATCTTATATAGACAAGCCCTGGTTTCATAATATTTCGAGGGAACAAGCAATTATTCTGATCAAAGAACGTATGTATTAATTAGTTTTTTTTAATTAAAATTATATTTCTAATGCTTAAGTTTTGCAAAGAGAAACTCAAGCATATATTTTTTTAATTATCAAAATTGAGGTCATGAATTATAATTTTAGAATACATTATAATAGAAACATCTAAGAATAAAAATATAAGAACATTACAATAGAAATATCTTATATCAATATATATTTGATCTACTTTATCATTTTTCTATTATAAAACTTTTTACTTAAGATATGAAAATAATGTAGAATTTATAATTTGATACGAGGTAGCTATTGAATATGTAATTGTACATTTTTAGAAGGTACTTACAGTAATCCACAAGACGGATATTTTCTTTTGAGACCGTCAACGACAAATCTTGGTAATCCTCTAACCTTGGTTCTGTGGTATAAGGATAGAGCCTACAATGTTCCGGTCAGAAAAAGAAGTGACAACAGGTATACACCTTGTTTATTAATATTATTGCATTAAGACGTTTTTTGCCGTATATATTTAATAATATTCGAATCCAATTTTAACTGTTGTGAAAAACATTATATTAATGTTGTATTAACCTGATAAAATGATTGGACAAAATCTTATAGGACCAACATTTTACATATAATTGAAAAATTTTAATATATCAGCTTATTTTATCTTAAGAGTACAGATATGAAAATCATCCTTTTCATTGATAATTCGCGTGCAATACTTATAAAGTTATTTTTTGTTAATTTATTATTAACATGTACAAATAAAATTTGATTTAGAAGAATATTACCTACAATTGTTTAGATACGCATTGGGCTCCGCGAAAGTGAATGAGCTGTCTTTCTCAACGGTTGAAGAGATCATAGTGTTTCATATGAAGGAAGAACTCATGCTCTACAGCGGCGGTGTACAGACCGGAAGTACTAAATTGACTGATACTCCACCAAAGTGATTTTAGTCCACTACGTCCAATTCTACTTTAAGCAGGAAGAAAATATTTTCATCGATAATTTCGCTGTACATAAGAGTTATACATGACGTGTATAAACACTGCCGAGCACATTTTTGCTAGATATTTCAACAATATAAAGAATAGGCTGACCAACAAGAATTTAAGTGGTGCCTTTGTGTGCATTTATAATAGATACATGAATTAATTATTTTCGTAATCGCGTTGCACAAAACATTATTGTTATTTTAATATTATTCCATAATATTCCAATAACAAGTTCTGGTTCGATTTTTATGTCTAAGATTCATCTTGACAATTATACGTGCCTTCAATAAAATGACATAATAAGCTCGAATATTGAACGGATCTCTATTATGATACACATATCACATATATTTTTAATATATATCTCAATCTTTTACCAAGTAAGTATATTAAGAATAAAAGTTCATAGCGCTACTTCATTTGTCATGCTTTTAAAAAAAAATTTGACGATTATACGACTATTCGAAACAAAGCTTTAATAGAGTCTGTTTTTTTTTAATTGCGGTACGCGCGTTCGCGATGATTCTTTTAAATTATGAGCAATTAAAAAAATGCTTCTTTTATTTATTACCCTCGATAACTCAATAACAAAAAATTAGACATTAAAAAACGATTTTGTAGGGAAAATTTTCACGTTAGAAAGTTGAAAATTTTTACAAGTTTTTTTTGGACCGTGTCAGACCACAAAGTGACAAAAAATTTCATTTTTCCAGCTCGTAGCTTTCTATATGTAAAAATTACCAAATTCATAGAAATTCCAAAAATGTAGCAACTTTCGAAAGTTGCGATTTTAAATCTTTTCTAAAGCCGTTTTTTCTATTTAAATTTTGTTCATTTTAATAAAGTTATATTGCTTGAATTTTGAAATTTGTAGCGTTACAAACTTTTGTTCCAATCTAATATTTATGGCTACGATATGCATATAAGAGATTAGTTTTTAAGATGAATTTTGTGAATGCTTCGTTAAGCGGGGAAGTGATTTTATATTGTTATTTTTTTATCAGTATTGTTATATTTTTATCTACGCATCAGTCACTTTTTTTATCTACGGCGACTGATAAATAATTGTTTATGTGCACGTGAACATATTTTGGCTTTCGAGGAACCAATGACGTGTATGAAGATTTTATTAAATCTTTCTTAAAAAATTATACAGATGCTTCTCTATGCGTATACGAGACGAATGTTTGTACATCCATAAATACGCAATATCGATCCTACCGTTTTCTTCCATAGTTGTTTACATTTTCTTTTGTCTCTCATCCTTTTCCTCGTCAATTGCGATTATGCGCGATCCAATTTTGTAAATGTGAATCATACGAATCGCGCACGTCACGTCTGCTTCGTTTGACTGTATCTCTCTTGCTACCGAGAATGTGAATGATAACGATAACGCTGACCAAGTCGTCGGACGTATTGATAAACGATTTCCAAGTTGTTACCATCGTTGCGCGATCAGTAGTGGAATTTCTTCGGTGGGCGAAGTTGATTCCTTAGTTGTGGAGAGACTTCCAGCGTCGTAGACTCGTGTAATTGTATACGTTATCTCTTTTCGCGTGATCACGACGATTATCGTCTACGTGTGCGTACCCCTGAACTGTGAGCTAAGCTAATTGATGGAAGTGAAATCATAATGTCCTTCACGTTAACTTGGGTGTCATAAGTCAATATATCTAACCAAATCATTTAAGGACTCGATGATCTCGGAGGAAAGAAACACTTGTGATAAATAAATCAGATATTTAGGTATATTGAATGTTTCTGACGTGACGTAATTAGAAACTATTACGTCGATAAAATTCGTGACATTCGAGCGCTAAATGTTATCTGGTAATAATCTTTCTTTAATTATAACGGAGCGCGTATTATTGACATTGTATTTATTTGCACGAGAGTTGAATTGTAATTACTCTTCGTAAGTTATTTATATCTATTTAATTTTAGTAAAAATTTTCAGCATTAGTTAATTTTATATATATATATATATATATATATATATATATATATATATATATATAAGCTCCAATTTATAAAGTCTGAAAAATATAAGCTTCAATTTAAAAAAAAATGCCTGAAAAATTCAAAAGTTTGTAAATGAAGAGTTTAGTTTTTTTGTGTTTTTCTATCAATATTGTCCGACGCTTTTATCAGGAAGAAAAAGAAATTTTTCGGAGACTCGGAGTGCGTTCATTTTGGATGCTTTCAACGCTTATACCCTTATTTTACGATAATCTTTCCGGAAGCCTGTTTGAAAGTACGCGCGAATGGCCCGCGATCACGTGGACGTTGTGGAGGTCGTGGTCGTGACTCGTGGATGAGGCCTAGTTACATTTTGAGAACATGTTTGCGATGTCGTGGTACCGCCAATGATGGATACATCTACAGTATAAAGGGTAGGCGAGAAAGAGGGAGAGGGACGGCGGGATGAACGGATTATACGACGAATTTGTGCGCACCGTCTCATTAACTGTTGACAAGTGGAACCGTCAATTGAATGCCTTATACGGCACTATCACTTAGAAAACTTTTGTAGGCGCGGATTTGAGCGAAGCGTGTTTAGCTGCGTTGG